AATACCAAGTTCGATATTGACTACTGAGTATTCACATAATATTACACATAATATTACAGCATTATGACAATAATATTACTTCTTCATTGCAATATTACAATGTAATATAGTAGAAATATTTCTACATTATTACAGTAATATCACAATAATATTAAAATATCAGCCGAAGTGCATCACAGTAATATTGTGATAATATATCATAGTAATATTGTCACAGTGATATATCACAATAATATTATAGTACTACTGTAAAATTATAAAATACTCTTATGGAAAAAAAAACGCTCAGATTTGAGTGTAAATTCGAATAATTGAGTGTAAACACTCAATACTTAAATGTTTCTTTCATAAGAATTAATTTTATATTAGTTAATCTAATATTAGATTTGAAAGGTTATCGTTGAAATGTTATGTTTGTCAATCATTTTTACCTCCTGAAGATGTAAACGATTCAGTTTTTTGTGATGTATTCACATCTTTTAGTTCGAACTTTCTTTCCTTTATTCTAAAATTTTACAACTGCTATATTTCGAAAACTAAACATTTTAGAAAAAAATGTTTTAGACAAAAGTTATATAGTTTCAAGGGGGAATAACTATATCATATTGTTTACAAATGATGCGACTTTTGAGATATTCACTGATTATTACTTTTCTTAAATGGAAACCCCATTTTTTATTATATCTTCTTTTTCAATCAATTAATTTCAATCAATTAATTTGGACAACTTTTATTTAAAACATTTTTTTATTTGCTTAATATTTTTTGAAATATTTAAGGAAAACTTGGTAACTTTTTCAATATTTAACTTACGATATTTCGCTAACTATTTGTTGAAAGAAAAAATAGTATTAGAGTTTTTACTCTATTTACTCTTTTTTGTCTGAAATGTTTCTTAATATCCTTCATATTTTTCGAGATGTTTGCCTGACTCATTTAAAATGGGATGCCTTGTATTATCCACGAAATATTTTATTTATATTATATAATGCATATAACGTTTAAAGTAGCAAGTGACATTAAATGACGTTTTAATGACATTTCTAATGTCCATAAGACATAATAAAAACATCATTTGACATCATCTTGCTATTTGAGATGGGATATATTGCAATACAATATTACAATAATATAATTATAGTACAATAATATTTCTGTAATATTGTATTATAGTAATATTTCTGTAATATTGTATTATAATATGTAATTCGTTATATTTTCGATAATGACCTTCGATAACGGCACACGCTTCGCGATGACGAATAATACACCGTAAGATCGTTCGTTGTACAATTAAACAACGATTTCGCTACAAATGTCGACTTCACACGTCGTGCACATGTGGATTTATTCCCACGCGGGTTTCCCCACCGAAAAAAAGGAAGAAGAAAGAATCGATAGCCACAGGGATCAAGTTCTCTCATCCGATCGCTCTCTTTTTATCTCGATGTACGGATACACAGCTTTAACACTCGAAGGACTGGATTTGACGACTCCCCTAGAAAGACCGTAAGAACCAATTTGGCTCCAAGCATATCTTTTCGTAAACAAATAGAAAGAAACGAAACGTAAAGATAATTATAAAATTTAACATTTTAACAATAATATCACTAATTTATTGAGCAAAGAAAACTGTTAGTTATATTATATTGAATTCTTTTAGCCTTTGGTGAAAGACTAAATGTGAAGTACAACGCTATTATGTACCACAAGAAACACATTTGTACATAATTTTCTTTGTACATTTACCGCACACCAATTTTTTACACGATCAACATTTTTTAACTTTATAGTTTTTTTGCAGTTTTTTATTTGACAAACTAGTCGTTTGCCTGAAGCATCGTCGAATTCAATTTCTTCTCCGGTTGAATCAAATTTTGAGACTTTCATCTTTGAGCAATATATGGGGCACTCAACTCTTCCGTGAGATTTTGTAAAAAAATTCTTCTTGATTTTTTTACATGTAAGTTCCTTGTATATATATAATTCATGCACTTGTAGCAGCAAAATTCAAAATATTATAAAAATATGAACTGGCCAACGGCGAGGTGCTATATATACGTAACTATGTGTACATATGTATATAATTATTTTTCAAGTGAACAGATAGATAAATACACATAAAATTATTTATTTATCTATTTAAAATCATAAAACTTGTAAATAAATCCGTAAAATATATGAGAATGCAATATCAGATAAGGAACTCAAATTGGCCCCAACGGTCCTTCTAGATAAATAATTAAATAAAAATTCAATCATTTTATGTAATTGAAAAATTTTTTTACCAAAATTAAGAACATGAAAATGATGAAAAGTCATAAAAGGATATCACGTTGAGGCAAAGTTGAAAAAAGTTTGAATTTGATAACAGTTTGAATATCGCGAGGAGCCAAATTGGTTCGGTCTTTTTAATGTTAACACGTTATTGGTGATCTTCCGGAGGAAATAAGCGCGCGGTAAAATAAAAGTTCATAGTTAACGTCTCGAGATAAATGAAAGAGCCATCCCTCTCGCGTTACATTTAAGTTTTCAAATCGCTAACGTTCATGTAGAATATGTATGATAAACACAACAGTACAATGTTAATAAAACTTTTACAAGCAGCTCGGACGAGGATATGATGTTGGCATAGTGTGCATCCGTTTTCCTTCCTCTCTTTCTTTCGGTCTTTCCTCCTCTTTATCAGCATGTGTTTGAATACAGCACGACACACGGATGCATTCTTTACGCCACATAAGCCTCTTTTTTATTCAACCATAATCCACAAGATACCACAAAAAACTCTCCTGATATGCGCGACATACAGGATCTGTCAAAAGTTACGGAACGGCTAATTATTTAAAAAAATAATGATTATTTAAAACAATGTTTGAAATAAAAGTGGTAGGGCTTAAAAAAAGCTATCAGATATTGATAATTGTTTGACCTTGGAATGACCTTGAGAAACGTTATCAAAATCGACATAAATATCTTAAATGTAAACTTGAATTTTTTATTATACCATCCTTTTCCACCAATTAATTGGAACAACTTTTGTCTGAAACATTTTTTTATATGCCTAATATTTTTTGAGATATTTAAGGATAACTTGGTAACTTTTTCAATATTTAACTTACGATATCTCGCTAACTGTTTGTCGGGATAAAAAAATGGTACTAGACTTTTCTATTCTACTTGGTCTCAAGAATATATTGTTACAATATATTCTTATATATATTCTTATAATAGCGCCCTGACTTTTATTAATTTGATGATTTTGAACTTTCGAAAGATCGATAAATTAATAAAAAATAGAGCATTATTGTATTAATATATTCTTGAGATTAAATAAAATAAATAGAAAAGTCTAGTACCATTTTTATCCCGACAAACAATTTGCGAGATATCGTAAGTTAAATATTGAAAAAGTTACCAAGTTATCCTTAAATATCTCAAAAAATATTAGGCATATAAAAAAATGTTTCAGACAAAAGTTGTTCCAATTAATTGGTGGAAAAGGACGATATAATAAAAAATTCAAGTTTCCATTTAAGATATTTATGTCGACCTTGATAACATTTCTCAAGGTCATTCCAAGGTCAAACAATTATCAATATCTGATAGCTTTTTTTAAGCCCTACAACTTTTGTTTCAAAGATTGTTTTAAACAATCATTATTTTTTGAAATAGTTAGTCGTTCCGGAACTTTTGGCAGACCCTATATATCGAGCAGTCACTTTATTCGGAAAAATAAAGAGAAACAAAAGAAAAAACGTAGGATCCTATTTTATTTTCAAAGTAACCGCAATCCGCAATTTGCTCGACACATGCGTTTGGCAACTGCCTATTTATAGCTACTCTTGGGGCCGGTTTTTCAATAATGGTATAAACTTAGGTCAAAATTTAAATTCTGTTCAAAAGCATTAGACTGTTTTTCAATGGATAGATCAGAATAAAATGTAGTTTAAAGTATAGTTTAAATAAACTGTGAATGATGACATGAGAGAAAATCATATTGTAAGGCGAAGACCAAATCATTTTGAAATTTGGGATAAAAAAGAATTTTTTCAAAGATTTCGCTCATCCAAAGCTACAGTTCATATATTAACAGAAAAAATTCAAGACGCTATTCAATCACCAACTGTCATATAAATTAAATGACATATATAGAATATTTTTCAATTATATTAGTTTTAACTAATTAACTAGTTGTAAAATATGGTGTTTACTAATAATGAATATTATACGAATAATATAAAATTTATTTATATTGTATTTTTTTATTTTTTTTCAGAAATCAAGCTCTTTCATGTATGAAATGATATTGCTAACATTAAGATTTTATGCTAGTAGATCTTTTTTGATAAGTGTAGGTGATTTTGTTGGTGTTCATAAAAGTACAACATAGCATGTAATATTACAGAAATATCATAGTTATATTGCAATATATCATTAACATTACACATTATATGATACGAGTATTTGTCATCAAATCAAGTGGAGATGAGCGATGCATTGTCGAACGATTAGATTGGTAGCAATAAGTGATATTCCAGCGGTAAAATTATTACGAAAAAATTATTAATTATTATGAGATCACAATGGGAGCGAACAAATATTCTGGCTTGATACCGTTTGGCGGGAAAAAGGGTACAGAAATGTGAGACAGCGAAGACTTAAGACGCTGAGACGTAGAATTGGAAGTTTGTGGGAGAATATAAAAAATAAAATTGTCAGCGTGTTTGATAGAAAATAATTCACATCTCAAAGAAGCGAAAGTAAGGGATAAATTGCCAAAGACGCCTAGACGCATAATCAATTAAACGTAGATAAAAAAATCGATAAGAATGTTAGTATGTATTATACGCCTGTGTATTGTCCTTTATGATTAATTCTCAAGTCACACATTAACGATTCCTGCGAGCATTCGAGTGGAAGATTAAAGTCAGTGGAGAAACAACAACTATCAATTTGGCAGACGTGTTAATAAATAAAGGCAGATATTAGCATATACTTACATGATACGTCGAAACAGGTGATGAAGTTCGGACATGGAGCGTACACTGTCGACCCCGCTGGAGTGTTCGGCCAACAGGACCAGCCATTGAATGTAAGGGGACAATATAGCTCTGAAATTCGAATAGCCGATTACTACGAGATCACGGTCAATGATCCTGTCAAAGCGTTCGTTACGTTTGACAGCGTGCCGGGATTAAACGACGAATACGTAACGAGTCGGTTGTGATGCAGGATCGCAAGCAGAGAAGGAAAAAAAAAGAAGGAAACAATATAGCGCCGTATCAGTCATCGTGACAAATTGAATAAATCTTTCCGCGCGATTTATGGCGCGGTCATAAAAGGCAATCCCCGCGATATATTATCTACTTATTATTAATCGCGGGGAGATTGGAGGCATCTCGTGGCGTATAAAGCACGCGCTCACGTGCTTAATCTAAGCAAACTTGTAAAAATTTCGTGGTTATAGCGGAATTCGAAGAGTCTACATTTTCTTTATCAAGTTCAATTTATCGTACGTATGCGACATCCGACATCCGACACAAATGTCGAATCGGTCTTACACTCTTTCAGAAACTCAGATTAAACAAAGTTTCTATCAGGGTAACGTTCGCCCAAAAAATAACAGTTATCCGAAGTCTTTCTATATGTCTTTATCGTTAAATCTTTCTGAATATCATTGTTATGGTTAGTATTAACCTGTCAAAATATGTAGACTCGTAAAATATACGATCTGATATAGGTTGATTCGAAAGTCACCCGCATATGCATTCTTTAAGTAGTGACGCACAGTGGTCTAAAATCGTAAAAACCTGGCAAAAAATTTTTATTAATTTGTTCAAATATCAGTAAGAATTATTGTAATTTCAAAAAGAATATGCAAGGAACAGCTTCTTATAATTTAAATGCTTGTACGTTGCCTCGAATACACAATACAAGTGGATAAAAATGAAGAATTTTTAGTATACTTGACATGCCGCCTTTTGCACTTTATTTACATCAGCCTTTAAATTAGTTAGTAACTTACTAAAATGTTTTAGTACAATATATTATTATTTCACATGCATACTTTAAATATTATTCGCAAAATTGACAAATAAATTTAGCATAGCATATATTTGATGTGATTTTTAATCTCATATAATGCTTATAGAAAATCGATACTGTAACTTTATTATACAATTTATAAGCTTTAGCCGTCCTTAACCAAGAAAGTTTTATGGTCAAATCGACTGTCAAATTGAATGTCATACTTTTGAAACATGTGAGGAAAGAAATTGCTACTTTTTACTGATTTCTCTTCTATAATAAAAAATCAAACGAAAATTAAGTTACAGTTGTTAATTATGTAATTGTAATTTCTGTGTGCAATTACAAGAAAACAATAATTTTTTTCATATTCTTTTTGTTTTTATTAGACTTTTCAAGATGTAAGAAAACAGTTAGTGTTACAGTAAACATAGATAACATGCGCGTCTGTGTGATGTTTAACATAATATTTAAAAAATAAATTTATTTACGTTTTACCGAACAGATAATCTATTTCATTTTATCGTTATGTACTATTGTTTTTAAAAAAATTTTGATGATCTTTAAATTTCGAGAAATATGAGCTAAAGATAAAAATATTAGCAATAATATTTGTCTTCATATGACATTTAATTATAAAAAATAATTTAAGTCGAATCTATCTTCAATAATTGCAGAATAATTAGCTCGTACCATTTTAAAAGCCCCACATTGTACATGACTTATTTTACATCAGTAATGATGCTTCAAGACAATAAATATCGTTTATAGGCCGCGATGGGCGTGGAAAACGCCAAACTTTGCGCTGTTATAATTAAAAAACTATTACGATTTTCACATTATGGCAGAGAACATTTTTGTTACCTCCTTGCCCCCTTAAAGGGGGGCAGGGTGAAACTTGGCAATTTCAAACGGGACTATAAAATGTCAGATAGTTTGGTTCTGCGGTAAAAAACAAGTAAATTTTGTTCAAAACATTCTTTTGTCAGATGTTAAAAGATATGACGGTATAAAGTTTCGAAGCTACAGGAAACGTAAAAGTGTCGCATATCTTTCGTCGGTAAAACTTTACTGCTGCACGCTGATAATTATTTTGGCATTCACCTAATATTAATAACATATTCACTTCTGTATCAAACATAGTGATAGCTATGTGAGAGTTATGTGAGCCACCCTGTATATTGTGAGGTATGCCATATTTTCAAAATAAAAAATTCTTGTTGTATACTAAGGTTGTAAAGAAATAAAGAAATTACAGTCTAAATTTATCGGAATGAAAAGGACGAATATTTTCATTCAAGCAATAATAAAAATATTTCCTTATAAGATCCTATCAATATTGCTTTATAAGGGCTCGTTAAACTATTTGTTATACATCTTGCAAGGCCCTTATTTTTCTATCCCTATTACGGCCCGATTAATGTTAGGGAGAAATAATCAGAGCCTGATCTACACTGTACGAAACAATACAATACAATCATAAAAAAATATCATAAATTTTTCATGATTTATTCAACGATTTTTATTCAAAGTCGTCGGAAGACACACTGGATTTTTATTCTCATTATAAAAGTTCCAAGCAACACACCTGAAAGGTTCTATTTTAAAGATTCTTCACAAAGAAAAAATTGACAAAGCGGCTATTAATTAAATTCCCTTTCCAAAGATTTTCTTGTTCATTGAACAACGCACTTGAAGATTTCACGACAGCCCATTGTAGCCGGGGCTTAGAAATAATCGTTACGAATTATTCATTCTAAAGAGACCTGTCTGCAGGAAATGCAGGAATGGCTGGACGAAAGCAAGGACGGCTGCGTGTACTTTACGTTCAGCTCCATGGTCAGGATCGAATCTTTCTCTAAGGAGTTGATGGAAACATTCTACGCGTCGTTCAAGAAAATTGGTCCGCGTGTTGATGAAAATTGCAAGGAAGGAGGATCTGCTCTCGGGATTGCCAGATAACGTGATGACGCAATCGTGGTTCCCGTAAGTTCCCGCCGTTCTCAGTACGTAATTACGAGGTCCGTTGCGCGGCCGCAACGTCAAGGTGCTAAATTTTCGCCCGTTTCTTATTAATCGTCATTAGAACGGTCATTTATATGCCGTATGAATTGGCGCACTTTCAGCGCGCGCGACGGCATTTGCATATAAATCGAGCAACTTTACAAAAAATGTCTTTCTCTTCGGTCGACTTCCCGCGCGATGGGAATTCCGCAAAAATTTTAAGCTCTGTACTTGTGGCGACGCGCCCGCGTCGACGAGTTTTCAAAAAACGCGACTGCGCATTAAGCGGAATCAGCGTTGCAATTTAGTCATTCATGAGGAAACTAGCGGACGCTGTATTTGCAGTCAGAAAGAAACTTGAATCGCTTTCGCTATGCTTGCGAGAGAAAAAAAAAGAGAATCGAGAAAAATGTCTTGAAAATTAATGCTTGACGCAACGACGTCCCACGTCACCGCAGTTTATTCGCGAAGCAGTTGAATGTGAAGCCGGGGAAGAAAAATCAAGAGGATCCTTTCGGTTGCATTCAGATTGTTCCCCATTATTTTTGCCATTCCCGTGCCCGATATCCGTCGGATGTCCGACCGCATGACATTTTTGCCGCGCTGTAAAAGCAACCCACCGTTCTCAATTCTCGCAGGACATAAAAACATACGGGCTTTCATTACGAACGGTGGGCTCATGGGAATGCAGGAGGCAATCTCTTACGGAGTCCCCATGGTCGGCATCCCTCTATTTGGCGATCAACGTATCAATATCCAGTCCTACGTGAGGAAGAAGGTGGCTATCTCGCTAGACTCTATACACGACGTCACCGAGGAGAAATTAACATCGGCACTGAATACTATCTTAAAGGATCCCACTTATCGGTGAGTACCCGAAGCAACGGCTGCCAGAAAAAGTAGGCGTTATACGCCCAGCTACTAATTGTTTAGCGGGGATTAATGAAATCATAACATTCGTCGTATCGTAAACATAAATACTAGAGATGTGCGAACTATTCGAATTCGAATCGAATCTAACGTAACTCGATTCGATTCGAATCCGAATCCCTATGATTCGTACCCGAATAATTCGAAAATTTCGAATCGTGAAGATTCGAATACGAATCAAATACTTAACGTTTGCGCGCATCAGCTACAAAACGGGTCATCTGGGCCTGTATGTTTGAACCCTTAACTTGTAATTAACTTAACTTATAATTAATAACTTAATTATAAATTATTTTAAATATTTAAATATAAATTTTACTTTAAGCTGATATTACAATATTAATATTCCCTTTTATATTAAAATCTTCCATCATTATTTGCATGTTTAATTGTCATGTTAAATATTGTAATGATTCGATTCGGTTTCATTCGATTCGATTCGAATTCAAATGAAATTTCATAGGTTCGATTCGATTCGAATTCGAATTTAGAAGATGAGATTCGATTCGACATAAAAATTCTTAATTCGCACATCTCTAATAAACACAAAAGTGCATACATAATTGGGGTCTTAGCAAGTAGACGGACAGGTATAAACTAGAGATGTGCGAACTATTCAAATTCGAATCGAATCGAATCGAATTACATTAAATTTGATTTGAATCCGAATCCCTATGATTCGAATCCGAATAATTCGAATAGGAATCAAATACATTATTGTTTGCGTGCATTAGCTACAAAACAGGCCATCTAGGTTTGTATGTTTGAACCCTTAACTTGTAATTAACTTAACTTATAATTGATAACTTAATTATAAATTATTTTAAATATTTAAATATAAATTTTACTTTAAGATGATATTACAATATTAATATTCCTTTTCATATTAAAATCTTCCATCATTATTTGCATGTTTAAAAGTCATGTTAAATTTTTTAATGATTCGATTCGATTCGAATTCGAATTTAAAAAATGAGATTCGATTCGATTCGACTCGACATAAAAATTCTTGATTGGCACATCTCTAGTACAAACATACGGCGATTATCATAAAATGCGGTGACTTCATAAAAGATAATTGTATGTTGTCGTTATGTTCTCTCTTTCTCTCTCTCTCTCTCTCTCTCTCTCTCTCTCTTTCTCTCTCTTTCTCTTCTTCCTCTTTTTCTTCCTCGTTTTCCACTCAGTTAGTTTATTTTCGCTCGATCTGCTAATACGTTCCTTCCTATGTGTATTTTCCGATTTCGTTTCGCCCCTTCCCCCCCTCTCCCCCATGTCATGTTTCTACTCGTTCGACCTTACGGCCGTGAGTTCATTCCCGCCAGCGAATGGAATAATTTTGTTTAGCGGGAGGAACGTGACTTCACTCTTGATGTAAATTAATGCGGTAAAGTTGTACAACCAGTGACCACATGTTACTAGATGAGCAACTAAGTTTCCGAGTTTCACATATGGATGGCGCTAACGACACATGTAGTAGACATACATGTCTGAAGTTGTATTTTTTTTATAGCTTGGACATCTGTTAACAATAACCAGTCGTAATACCAGCACACATCGCAATGCAAAAATATTTTTTCTAACAACGAAGATGTCGAGTTTTGTGCAAAATAAACAGCATTTACGGGAAGCTTTGCTTTTCTGCTTTAACTTGAAAAAAAGTGCAGCTGAAGCACGTCGTTTGCTTGAGGAGGCCTACGGCGAACATGCATCATCGAAAACTACCTGTGAAGATTAGTTTAAACGCTTCAGAAGTGGCGATTTCGACACTGAGGACAAGGAGTGCTCCAGAAGACCAAAAACAATTGAGGACGCCGATTTGCAAGCGTTATTGGATGAAGATGATACGCAAACACAAGATCAACTTGCGGAGGCTTAAACATGACTCGCCAAGGTATTTCCAAACGTTTACATACCATGGGAAAAATTCAAAAGGAAGGAAAATGGGTGCCGCATGAATTGACTGAGAGACAGATGGAAAATCGAAGAGCCACTTCCGAAATTTTGCTTTTATGGCATGAAAGAAAGAGTTTCCTGCATCGAATTGTTACTGGCGATGAGAAGAAGGATATATTTCGAGAATCCTAAACGCAAAAAATCGTGGTTTTCACCTGGCGAAGCATCAATATCGACGGCACGGCCAAATCGCTTCGGAAAGAAGACAATGCTCTGCGTTTGGTGGGACTAGAAAGGAATCGTGTACTATGAGCTGCTGAAACTGGGCGAAACTGTCAATGGGCATCGCTACCGATAACAACTGATCAATTTGAACCATGCATTGCTCGATAAACGGCCAGAGTGGGACACGAGACACGAACGGGTGATATGGCAGCACAACAACGCTCCATGCCATCGCACTTCCATCGTCCAGGATACCATCAAAACGCTGAAATGGGATCTGCTACCGCACTCGCCGTATTCGCCAGACCTGGCCTCTTCCGATTATCACTTGTTCCGGTCGTTGGCGCATGGCTTGACTGGGCAATACTTGGCCAATTTCGAAGAAGTGCAAAATTGGTTGGATGAATGGTTTCGGTCCAAAGACGCGTCGTTTTATTGTCGCGGTATTCATGTATTGCCAGAGGGATGGCAAAAATGTGTAGCTAACGAGGGACAATACTTTGAATAAACCATTTTTTGTATTTCTCTTCAAATTTTCCATTTTTCATTGATCAAAAAAAACCTGGAAACTTAGTTGCGCACCTAGTAAAAGGACTTCAAGAGCCTGGAGGCTCGCTGCTTTAAGTCTTATTAGCCCGCCAGTATCGATCCGTAACCGGTTGCGCCGCGTTACATATCACTGGACAAGCAGAACGTACTCGCGTGCTATTGTAAATCTTGCTTGATTCTCGGATGTGTATCGCGCGCGAATAAAGGGCGAAATGTTTTATCAGTGCAGAACGAAAGTAGGCGGCAGGGAAATAGAAAATCTAGCAGAATATTCGACGTGCTTTCAACTCGAACAGACACCGAGATTTCGCGTCGGACTGACGACAGTCTCGGTGATGTTGACGAAAACACGTCGCGTCGGTCGTGAGCTCTCCTAGTTTCGATGGTTTTGCGTTTCGCAAAGTAACATTCGGGCGAATCGAGGTTCCGGGAAACTGCTTTTTCCGAAACGACCCGTCATCGTCGCCATTACTCATTTTGAAAAGTGGCTAATTACCGTTATCGTTACTCACGAAATAGTGTATAAGTCGTTACGATATTTCCGCCGCTTTTTCAACCTTCGGTCTTGCGAAGGCCCTTCATGCCTCGCCCGTATTTCACGCGAGTGAATTCAGCATGAAAGTGGGGTAACGAGGTTGCATTCGTTACCGTTGGCCGAAAAGTGTAATTACATCGTTGTTGCTTTTAACGAGAAAAGGGGAGGAGAACTTGCCCTCGGCAAGTTTGCCATATTTTTGAGCGCTCTGGACGATAAGGTTCTCGTTAATTGTATTATATAACAAATATAGTTTTTGCTGCGACCATATTAATTTTCACATGGGGCAAAATTACATCACTGTGCATGCTTGAACATGTGCGCGTATGTGCATGTCTGTGTGTCGTGCCAACAAATGCGCATTATAACGCTGATTATAACATTGATATTTTCATTTCAAGATGTATATTGTGTCATCTGAAAATGCGCACGGACTGCAAAATACGACCCGATCGATCGTAAGCAGCAGAAGTGCACGTTTGACAGATATTTTTAATCTGTTAGAGAAATTATGCAAATATCCAATTAATTGCGATACTTAACTGTAAGCCGTTGTGGAGTGTAAATTTTTTAAATAAAGTAAGCGAGTCTGATAAAATCAATATGAAGGCAGCACTCGCAGCGTCGACTATAAAGGCGCCACTCGCAACTCTTCTGCCATGCGCGCATTTTTGCCCACGATTTTTACATCCTCTGTGAGGACTTTTCTTATTCGTTCATGTGAAATATACATTTACATACGCATAAATATGTGTGTGTACTTTACCTAACGGCAGCGTCGTGTTCATGGTCTTCAACTTCAAGCATTCTTCCTTGCGCTTCATGAGAATTCGATGGAATTCCTTGTCTAATAGCGTGCTACCCATCGTCGTGTTTCCCGGCATCTGTTGAGCAAACGACATGTGGAATATTAATGAGTTACAGTAGCAAAAGTGGAGATAAGCAATTAATGTCTAGCACGCGCCGCGGCATAACTTGATGCTGTGTTTCATGCGACTATACGCATCCCTCACGACTCGCGATTAAAATGGAAACTCGAGTAGTCGAGTCGTTAATATTTCATGTTAATAGTTGCGCATCTCCAGAGTTCTTGCACTTTAGAAAAGATATCGTCCGAAATACAACGCGAGTCTGTATTTCAAGACGAAGGCATCTCTCTGGATTATATGTATATATAAATAAATTATAATTCAGTATAATTATTATCTTATTTTCATGAGGAAAACGAGAGGAAAATTAAGAGATAGTCTCCCGAGTAAAAAAATTAATAGGGCTCTAGTAAGAGCCTGATTATTTTTCCCTAACATTAATCGGACCCTAGTAGGTATAGAAAGACAAGGGCCCTACAAGATATGTAACAAATGGTTTAACGAATCTTTATAAGGCAATGTTGATAGGGCCTTATAAGAAAATATTTTTATTATTGCTTGAGTAAAAATATTCTTTCTTTTTATTCTGAGAAATTTAGACTGTAATTTCTTTATTTCTTTACAACCTTGTTAGTATACAACAAGAATTCTTTTATTTTAAAAATATAGCATACTTTACAATAAAATATAACATTCTTTATACATAAAAATCCTGTTACTGTTTTTATTAAAGTTTGATGCATTTCAAAAGAAGGCATTACTAGAAAAATCCTCGGAAGAGACTAATGAATATGGCAACTAATAAAACTAATAAAATTTGTTTTTATTTGCGACATAATTAAAAAATCTTTAAAAGAAGCAGATAGAGCGTACCTACTAAAAACAATACTAAACTATGACAAATTTATTACACGCTTCAGATCTTATTAATTTTTTATACCAAAACTTGATTTTGCATATCTATTAAAAGATTCTTCTAAGGCCCACATCTGTTTTCCATGTTAAAATGTTATTTCGTAAAATCTACGGCATCCCTAAAAAATTCTTCTAAGGTCCTTCTCAGCTTTCCCTATCGAAGCCTTATTTATTAGATCTAAGTCATCCCTAAAAAATCTTTCTAAGTTCCTTCTCAACTTTCTCTATCAAAGCCTTATTGCGTAAAATCTAAGGTATCCCTAAAAAGTCACATTAGACTGCGAAATGGATCTTTTAGGGATACCTTAGATTTTACGCAATAAGGCATTGATAGAGAAAGTTGAGAAGGAACTTAGAAAGATTTTTTAGGGATGACTTAGATCTAATAAATAAGGCTTCGATAGGGAAAGCTGAGGAGAACCTTGGAAGGATTTTTTAGGGATGCCGTAGATTTTACGAAATAACATTTTAACATGGAGAACAGATGTGGGCCTTAGAAGAATCTTTTAATAGATATACAAAATCAAGTTCTGCTATAAAAAATTAATAAGATATGGAGCGTGTAATAAATTTGTCATAGTTTAGTATTGTTTTTAGTAGGTACGCTCTATCTGCTTCTTTTAAAGATTTTTTAATTATGCCGCAATTAAAAACAAATTTTATTATTTTATTATTATAAAATTTTATTATTAGTTTTATTAGTTGCCATATTCATTAGTCTCTTTCAAGGATTTTTCTAGTATTGCCTTCTTTTGAAATGCATCAAACTTTAATAAAAACAGTAACAGGATTTTTAAGTATAAAGAATGCTATATTTTATTGTAAAGTATGCTATATTTTTAAAATAAAAGAATTCTTGTTGTATACTAACAAGGTTGTAAAGAAATAAAGAAATTACAGTCTAAATTTCTCGGAATAAAAAGAACGAATATTTTTACTGGAACTATTATCTGATGTAATAATAATAAAGCATCCCTTTTTAGGGCATCTTACTTTCAACCTTATCGAGGCCTTGTACTTCATGAAGATGGACTTAACAATTTTCTGCTCGGGCCATCGTCATGTGCAGGCTGAGCAAAATTATATACCTGTAGCTAAAAACGCACATTTTTCCTGCCTTTTTAGATCATGCAAAATGATGTTCACTTAGACACCAAATGAAAAACAAACACGTTGACGGATCTTCGGGTGCGAAATAACCCGACCTCGTCGTGTATAAAATATATTTTCGCTGAAATTGTACATTTCAGCGTTGAATCAATTCGTGAGCGTGGCAAATTATATTCCCCCGACGCGCTCTACATATTTCTTACAGCCGCACGTTCACACCGCACGCACGCTCGATATTCATTAAAACACTTTGCAATTTGTCGATTATTTCACAAAAATTTATCGTCGCGATGCAGTTTTGTCATGTAAACCGTCGCATCGAAACTTCTCGCCGGACGTATGCAAATTTCGACGGCGCGGCCGTGCCGTAAAAATGTCGACGCCATTATTGAGGAAATCGATTTATTGGACTATGAGACGACGCGTAATAACTTTATTATATACAAACGAACGTTACTGCGTCCGGTCGAGCTGCCGGCGTCATGAAGTGAAGCGTTTTACGACAAAACTGTCTTGCTAACGCACGCGAAGAAGTAGGAAGAAGAGAGGATTCGATTCTCGGATCGAAATATATTCACGAAAGTTTGTCGCACGAATTCATGTCGAACATGGTCTGGGCATAACACGAAAATATTAATTGGAAAGCACACTTTTTTCTCTAATGAGATTTCTGTGAAATATCATGCGTTGGCTCTCGATAAAATATCGGAATTAACCGGCGGACATGGTGGAAAAATTATTGTAAAGTAGAGTATTGTAAAACGAAATTCATACTTTTTATATTTTTCATTAAAATGTTTATATTTTAATAGATAGTATGAAAATTGTAACTTTACTGTTGTTACCTAATTTATTCCCTGTGAATACGGAATACATGGCAAAGCATGAAATTGAAGACCCTCTAGAAAAGAATCTGAAGAAGGATTTCTTCTACATATAAATGTAAGCATAAAAGTACAAATTTTTTCTTAATAATTAAAAGAAGATAAAAAGTACACACTGATTAGTAGGAGTCATATTATGTGTACGTATAGATGTACTACGTTGCAGCTAAAGAAAGTAAATTACATGTAATAAGCGACAATTATTTATCAATAACTCCATAACAAGGAGTTATCAGTTTCGCAGCAAGTACGTCTGTGTTGCTCAACTGGCAATATTACCTCCTATTAATTAATCAATTAATTAATTAGATCATACGATTGTATCATGCGTTATAGCAACGGATTACATAGCGCGTATTTGTCCAACAGATGAATCTGGATGAACAAAAGCTACGAATTATTCTCGCGGAATTTATTCGATTCGGATGAATACCATGGAACCAAGTTTACATAAATAATTACGCAAGGCGGGATGGGAACACCTTTATAATCCAAATTTTTATCACCAAGATCGTAACACGCGGTAACATTTCATGGAATATCTTCTCCAGCGGCTTCGCAAGCCATTGATGTTTACCGAAAGCTATCGATAAAGGTTTATGTTTATCACCTGAGTCTCTTGAAGTGAAAGTTCACTCGAAACGAGTGCAAATTCACTTGAGGCAATAGTGAAAATATTGGCACTCGAAATCACTCGGCAGTGCACAGTTAATATCGATTTACAGCGAACTCTCAGTTTATACAAATGAATGTTTTAATCGATTAGAGTTAATTGGTCTTTATGACACTTTCTGGAGCACATCAGCGTCACTATGTAATTTTGAGTGAAAATATTGAAAATGGAGAATTTACTCCACATGGGTGAAAAATCACTAGAATTCGAGTAATTCGTTTTTCCTCTTCGGCTGAAATATCGCTGCAAGGAATTCCGAGAGCAGAAGAGAAACGTGCAGTTCTGTTTGATGATTTTTCCTCTATCACTGCGTTTAATAATAGCCTGTTCGTATCAAACCGTATACAGGGTGTCCCATTTTAATGTTCCACCCCAAATAACTCTTCAGTATTGAAATTTCAAGGAAAATGATCTGAACAAAAGTTGTAGGGGTTTAAGTGAGCTATCTTATGATGACCTTGACTTTGATCTTGACCTCTATTTGCAAGGTCATTTGAAGATCAACTTGCATTTTTTAAATGGGAACTCCTATTTTTTATTACACTGTTTTTCTACTAGTTAATTTGAACAACTTTTGTCTAAAACATTTTTTTATTTGTCTAATATTTTTTTAGATATTTGAGGAAAACTTGATAACTTTTTCAATATTTAACTTACGATATCTCGGCTAACTATTTGCCGGAAGAAAAAGTGCTACTAGACTTTCTTGCTTTATTTAGTCTTAAGAATATATTGTTACAATAGCGCTTTGACTTTTGTTAACTTACTGATTTTTGAAAATTTCAAAATCATCAAATCAACAAAAATACACACACACACGCGCGCGCGCGCACACACACACACGCACACACACACACACGCGCGCACACGCACACGCACACACGCATACGCACACGCGCACACGCGCACACTCACATGCACACGCACGCACACACACACACACACACACACACACACACACACACACACACATAAGAGGTGTAAATCCGATCGTGCAACCTCTACGCGGTACACCTTGGGTAATGCTAATGCCGACGGTACTGTAACTTTGAAGCTTCATAACTCGGGATGTACTTAACAAAAACATACTTTGTTGCAGTTTTTTGGAAAGCTCTTGAAATACGTTATAAGAATATGCCAAAAAAAGTAGGGCATTCTATTTGAAAAGTTCAAGGTGACTTTGCCCTGACCTTGTTGACGCTAGCCAAGGTCAAACTGATAAGATCAGTGAATAGATCATTTTAAACCTTACAACTTTTGCCTGAAACATTTTTTCCAAAAACTGATTGTTTTCGAGATATTTTATCGTTCGAAGACTTTTTAAGACCCTGTATGTATTTATATATATTTATTTGTCCATAACGAGAATACATTATTTCATACTGCATATTTCATATTTTTAGATTGCAGCGTTGGAACATATTTGTTATTAAGCAGAAGCAGAATCGATAGGCCACATGCAGGTAATGCACCATTTAAAAGTTATCTTTTATATATATTCTTGCCCAAAACAAGAATATGTTATTTCAGATTGCATATTTTATATTTTCAGGTTGCTGCTCCCACATAGCACCGCAATATTGCAGGAATGTTACAGAAATGTTACAGGAATATTACTGAAATATTGCATAAATGTGACAACAATATTGCGAAGGAATATTTAATGTCCTAGGCATGAGTCTCGCAGGAATATTGCAGGAATATTGTTACAATATCACAGGACTTTTGCCACAATGTTGTTGAAATATCGCCACAATTTTGCAGGAATATCTCTGAGATATAGCCACAATACTGCAGAAAAATTGCAAAATATTTCTGAAATATTACTGCAATCGTGCAGGAATGTTGCTACAATATTTCTTAAACATTGCCGTTTAAATATTGCAGGAATATTACTGAAATATTGCATAAATGTCACAGCAATATCACAGAAATATTTAATAGTTCTAGGCATAATTCTCGCAAAAATATTGCGGAAATATTGCTATGATGTTGTAGGAACATTGTCGTAATATCACAGGAATATTGCCGCTCTATTATAGCGTAAACTTTTTATATTTTATTTTAAACATTTTCAACTTTTTAATTAATAACTTTAAATTTGTATGTTAATAATTAATTTATTAATACATATTGTAATTAATAGTAATGAAATTGATTAATTAAATTCTACATGTTAATGTTTCATTTATTATGTTTTATTTATTTATTATTTATTTATCATACATTATTATATATTTCTTATATATAAATGTATATATATATATATATATATATATGCGTAAAATAAAACATTCTTTAAACAATAAGTTCAGTTAGATTTATACAATAAGCCACATGCAACGTTCACCTCTATTATAACAATATTCCATTGTGCAACATATTGGAGAAGCGTTCTATATAATATATAAAACATCATTTCTACATTTAGGATATCGTGCGTTAATATTTAATACTTTTAACTCCGGGTCTACTATCTATAAGTGTGCAAATTATTTTATTTTTATATGAAATTGTTAAAATGAAACAATATATATTAAAATATTAAGATACTTACAGCTTGTGTATTTAACGAATGCATCCCATGGTGATTAACACAAATGCTTCTTTATGTATTTTAGGGCCAAATATATTCACAAACGTCAAGGAATCGATTGCCCCAATTTCTCTTCCGAATGTGATACATTCCATAATTTTACACGAGCTATATGACATTGTTCTCGTGTCATAGGAAATTGTATCTACTGCCGCAACAATTGTTGATAAATTTCATCTGTAATCTTATAAAGACATCGAGTTAATGTTACTTGATTAATATTACAAATAAATTTATTTCCTGTTGGTCTTTGGTAATTTTTATATGCATAAAATTATATTGTCCCTAACACCGAAAATAGAGTAAGTACTTACAATTTGGTTAAAACAATGTAAATATGTTTTTAAGGTAAACACTGATGAATATATAAGTTAACATTGGCTACGTTTAGAAAACACAACTGCTGCACAACGGTTGAGTAATTCGTCAACATAATTAGTCGCTCGCTCCTCGTCGCGCGCGTTCGCTTGCTTCTTGTCGTTTACGTTGTCCCTCGCCGCGTGCGCTCGCCTACCGTTACTCGCTGACTCCGCCTGTATCAAATGTCTATGTGCTTACTGCGGTCGCCCTCCGCTCTCTACGCGCTCGTTGGCTCACATGTTTTAATTAATAACTCGGTAACTATTGCCAATTTGACATTATGGTACATGACTTTCCTTCTCGGCTACACCCAATCTATCTCCAACTTTCGTCTACATGATAAGCTTTCAAACACCCTGTATAACTGTAATAAAATAATTGTTATTATTACTACTCAAATAGAATCATTACCTTTATCTCAGGTTCAGTTGCAATTATGTTGCAGTTGACATTGCAAGTGGAGCCATAATACATTAATCAAGTCCATTACTCTAAATCTGGACTAATTCGAAACATCATTACGAATTTATTATATAGCAGATGAAATGGGTTAAAACCTCTCAACAATCTTTGTTCCATACGTCTTTCTAAGTTATTTATTAAATCTTGCAAAACCATGAGTTCCCAAGTAAGAAATCCCACTGCTATAATGTTGATATCTTTCAAGAACAGAATGTGCTAACTGAATAATGAACTTAGAAAATACAAACAACAACGTAAATTGGAAAACTTACTCTAGAATTATATTATGTAAATATAAAATTGTTGTATGATAAACACAATATTACCTCAAAGTCTCTTAATTGTTAAAAGCGTAATTAGAAAAAATTATTTACCTTCAATATATATACAGTATCCTATTAATAATGTATGTTGTGAATGTCACTCTTTCAGTGTGTTTTCTTACGCTACATGGAACAACACTAATTCGAAACACTACTACATCACATTTAGGCTACATTTGGGGAGACGCTATTTAGCGCAAACAATCTATAGTATCAGGTGTAGTAAAAAGAAATCCATTATTTTTCCAATAGATGGCTTTAGTTATCTGTATCTCGCGTTGTATAAGTCCGATCGGGTTCCACTAGATGGCGTTAGGAAGATGAGATTTCGTACTAAAAAAACTTTTCTGACAGTTTTGTGATTAGTTGACTCAGTTTTGTTTGAACGCGCGTCATAGATGGACACTAGCAAAGAGAAAATACGCTATATTTTACAGTTTTTCTTCGATAAAGGCGAAAATGCAAGCCAGGCGGCTGAAAATGTGAATAGTGTTTTATGGTCCTGATACTGTAACAGCCAATCACGTGCAATTTTGGTTTCGTCGATTCCGTTCCGGTAATTTCGATGTCAAAGATGCACCACGCACTGGAAGGCCAATTGTCGAAAATATCGATAAAATCATGGACATTGTCGAGTCCGACCGTCATGTAAGCACTGTTTCGATTGCCCAAGAGCTAAAGATTACACAAAAACCGTTTGGAACCATTTGAATAAGGCTGGATACAAAAAGAAGCTCGATGTATGGGTGCCACACGAGTTAACGCAAAAAAACCTCATGGACCGAATTTCCATTTGCGAATCGCTGCTGAATCGCAACAAAATCGACCCATTTCTGAAGCGGTTGGTCACTGGTGATGAAAAGTGGATCACTTACGACAACGTCACGGTCGTGGTCGAATCGCGGTGAGCCGGTGGAAACGGTGGCCAAGCCAGGATTGACGGCCAGGAAGGTTTTGCTGTGTGTTTGGTGGGATTAGCAGGGAATTATCTACTATGAGCTGCTCCCCTACGGCAAAACTCTTAACTCGGAACTGTACTGTCAACAATTGGACCGTCTGAAGGAAGCAATCGCCCAGAAGCGGCCAGCTTTGGCCAATAGGAGAGGAATTGTGTTCCATCAGGACAACGCCAGGCCACACACATCGATAGTGACTCGCCAGAAGCTCCGGGAGCTTGGTTGGGAGGTTCTTATGCATCCACCTTATAGTCCGGACCTGACACCAAGTGATTACCATCTGTTCCTGTTCATGGCGAACAATTTTGCTGGTGAAAAATTCGCTTCAAGAGAGGCTTGTGAAAATCGGCTGTCTCAATTTTTTGCCAATAGGGACGAGGACTTCTATGAGAGAGGCATAATGAAATTACCTTCAAAATGGCAACAAGTTATCGAACAAAACGGCGCATATTTGACCTAAATCGGATCATTCTAACTATGGTAATTAAAGCCTTCAATTTCATGCAAAAATAATGGGTTTCTTTTTACTACACCTGATATATGTAATGTATGCTGCAGTTTTACAGCGCAAATAGCGTCTCCCCAAACGCAGCTCAAATGGCCGTTTAAAGGCGTACATTCAATTAAATAAAACCCGAAACGACAGAGTCTGCGCGCAATCTACCGTCAGAGTCTGTCAGCAGGCTTTGCGCACAATCTGCTACCAATAATCTGCCGTCAGAACCTGTTGTGACAGACTCTGTATTCTGCGCGTATTCTGCGTCAGTTTGTTATAGCAGATTCTGCGCGCATTCTGCGATCAGAGTCTGTTAAACAGATTCTGCGTACAATCTGTTGCCTTTCTATCAACAGATCTTGCTAACAGACTTTGCACAAAATCTATTTTAGCAGGTTTGGCTATCTAGGTATATACAGGGTGTCCGGAATGTGATCATTAATATTTTGTATACTGGTAAAACTCGTTAAAACAATTAAAAAAGTCCTGTGACATTTTACAATTTTTTCAATATTTATTCCGTAATTAATTAAAATGTGTAAACGAATGAGCGCACGAGAAAGCGACAGGACGGGTTCCGTGTATAAGAAGATGGCTTACCTCGCGCGGCGAAAGGCAATCGTAAGAGACAAGAGGCATGCGCGCGCGACGAGGAGCGAGCGAGCGCGAACGACGAGCGAGCGAGCGCAAGCGACAAGAGGCGGCTGCCCAGCGTTCTCTACGTGCTCATTGGCTCACACGTTTCAATTAATAACTCGATAACTATTGCCAATTTGACATTACGGTACGTGACTTTTCTTCTCGGCTACACCCAATCTACCAGTACACAAAATATTAATGATCACATTCCGGACACCCTGTATATAACTATAAATTGTTTCACACTGCAGTATTATGGCGATAATCAGAAATATTATGTGGCAGTCTATCATACTGGAATATAGCACCAATATTCCTGTAATATTACAATGAGATTTATCATCGTGCAATATTGTTGTAATATTGTCACTATGTTGTCATACGATAGTCACATCCCAGCAAACACAATATTATATATAACGTGCATGTTAGTTGTAATTTCCTACTCAACAATATAACTGTTATACAGGATGGTTGATTATAACTTGCCAACCCGAAATGTGAAGGTAGATTGGGTTAAGATAAACAAAAGTCCCATACCGTTTTGCAAGATTCGCAATAATTATCGAGTTATTGGTTGCGTTCAGAAAACAAAGCGCTCACTGAGCGCTTAGTAACTATTGGTCCTTACTGTTAGATCCTTACATTCAGACCAATAACGTTGACGAATTACTCAACCGTTGTGTAACCGTTGTGTTTTCTGAATGCAGCCAATAATGACAGAAATCTGAGGAATGGGAGCGCGCCGACATAGATGATTGGAGAAGCGTTGCAACTACTCAGGCCACAGCGCGGCCCACTCGACCAAGCAACTGCTGGCGGCGTGCGGCGAGACGTAGGTCCGGCGAGATAAAACAACGAATAGCAGCACATTGTCTTTCCCCTCGCCGCGCACTGGCAACAGTTTCTGGATCAACTGGGCCGCGCTGCGGCCTAAGCAGCTGCAATGCTTCTCCAATTATCTATGTCGGCGCGCTCCTATTCCTCAGACTTCTGTCATTAATAACTCGATAATTATTGCGAATCTCGCAAAACGGTATGGGACTTTTATGTTTATCTTAACCCAATCTACCTTCACATTTCGGTTTGGCAACTTATAATCAACCACCCTGTATAACACATGTGTTATATAACAATTATATTGTTGAGTAGGAAATTACAACTAACATGCACGTTACATATAACATTGTATTTGCTGGGTATATAAAAGATATCTTTTACGTAAATGGTGTATTACCTGGATGTGATCGATTCTATTTCTGCTTAATAACAAATATAATTCAACGCTGTAATCTGAAAATGTGAAATATGAAATACGAAATAATATATTCTCGTTGGGGGCAAATAAATACATATAATAAAAGATATTTTTTATAGTATTATATATTACCTGATAGTAAATCTGTTGTGCTTCTGTTCAATAGTAATGTCCCAACGCAGCTATGTGTAAATGTCAAATCAAATGCAGCTGCCTGTAAATGTCAAATATACAATATAACGTAATATATTATTATTTTGTTTACAAGAATATGTATAATAATGAAACATAAAAATAAAAGAATAAATTTAATTCATAGATCAACAATCAATAACCTACTTACCTGTTCTAATGTGCAGTAAAATTCCGTCACGTGTATATTACGCATATTTTTATTTCCTCTCTTTCTTCCTCGTTTTCTCGTTCGACTTTTCTTATGAGCTAATCACCAATCACCACTTTTTCTAGTAGCATTCAAATATCACTACATATGTCAAACACACTCGTACACAACTTTCGAATTATGGCGCCTCTGACAATGAGCGAACTCATTCGTGGCGCCTCTGACGATGGGTTCGCAGCGCCTCTAACAGAAGAAATGTGAGATGAACATTTTTGGTGTAACATTTGGTCTGTTCTTTGAAGCTGCATTGTTGAACTGGTGCAATAAGTTAAAGT